GTTCGGATCTTATGTAACTAGAATAATTATTTTTTATGTAAAATTATTTGTAATTCAAATGGCGGAATAATCTCAACGAAAACAAAAAATAAAATATAGTTAATATTTTGGGATGAGGAAACCACAGTATATTGTAATACCTTATTAAATTTTTCACAATATTATATAAGTCCGTGGAGACAAAAAAGTAAGTAGTAACGTCGACTATTCCAAATATTTAGAAACAAATACCCAGCAGATGTCTTGAATCATTTCCTGGAAACATTATCGAAATAGTGAGATACGTCTAACCATAAGGATATCAATAATAAACTGGCGCCTTGACACATTACAGTATGTTAACATAAACGGGATTAAATATGGAAGTAACCCACTATCCTTAATGAAAGACAAAAATAATAAAAACAATGAACATCACCAAATAACGACAAAACAAACACACTACCAGTCATTCTGGACGAGGTAAAATTACCCGTAAGATTCTGCTTCATAATAAACAGTGGTCATCTTTTGAGTAGTGTATATTTTACCTCCTATGAAAGGTTCACGACTGTAAGACCTGAGAGGCTCTATTGACACCTAAAAGGAAATATCGTATTTTGAATTTATCCCATACAGTAATCCTCTTTCGTGGTTGATCAGGTTTGCATCTGTAGAGTTTTTCCTCTTGATTTTTTTCTGTTGTGAACATTGTAAATAAAACGACATGTAGTGTTTCTAAATCACAAAAAAAGATTATTTTGATAATTATATGAATCATTTCCTGAGAGCTCCCACACCATCTGCCCTTGATGTCTGGTACAACATTACACCAGCTGCCCTTGATGTCTGGTAAAACACCACACTAACGGCCCGGTACAACACCACACCAGTTGCCTCTGATGACTGGTGGGTGTTACATAAGGTGGCTCTGCTCTGGTGGAATATCAAGAGACATTCCTATGGACCACTCTCTCCTTCCTCCTCAGTACATCACCAGGTCCACCACCTGTACTAACACACACACACAGAAATACATTAATTATTACTTGGAATATGTAAACAAACACTCGTCAAGGTGTCTTTAGTTGTTTACACATAGCATAATTTCAGCTTATGTGTGTGTGTGTGTCCAGGAAGTTACTTAGTGCTGGTAGCGCATTCATAATTTAAACATGTATATTCTGTGCAGCAGGTGATGTAGTTTATAGCAGCGAGATGTAATTCCTGATATCTGTATTTAATGAATTAGTAAGATAATCACAATATCTGTATCCAGTCAACATACAAGATATGTTTACAATGATGTAATGTTTCATTGTTATTATAGAGCAGTTCAGGTTCACACAACATTCAGCCCAAATTCTCGACTTGCAGGCAAGTCTTGAGGACGACCATAAAGAACAACTGAGGCGAGAAGACTTAAGTCAGCTATTATATGCACATCTTTAATGTACAAATTCATTCATTCATATTTCGAAAATTCCAGCGTCAACTTAAACTTATAATGAATACTACTACTCTACTACTACTACTACTACTACTACTACTACTACTGCTACTACTACACTACTACTACCTCCCCAATACCCACACTCGCCACTTATTTTATTACTTAATATTAAATATCCTTTACAAAATAGCTACCCTAGCTGAGTTAGTTAAAGAGACTGATCCAGGTAACCCAACAACAAACAGTCTGACAGGCTATTAGTGTACAAAGAAAGAGGGTCGGAGGGGGTTAAGGTTCTACATTAAAGGTATGAAATGGTACGTTCATTAATCCTTAAACTTAACGATATACATTTATTTCTTATCTCATCTTATATATAATGACCGTAAGAAATTTTATCTCCTGCACAATACAATTTCTTATTTAATCATGAGACTTAATATTTAAAGCATTTCACATTATAATATTTTATGGCATTTACATTTATGAGAATTATATTATAGATATATATATAAGGTATCCCGGCAGGCGAGTCATTAATACCAGAATGCTAAGCAATTTCCCAGTCTATTGTTTGGGAAAATTGTCGGTAAAAGTATTCAGTTATTAAATGTGTCAACATAATTCACTACAACAGGACCAGCTGACGTTATGTGTGTGTGTGTGTGTGTGTGTGTGTGTGTGTGTGTGTCTGCAGTGTGTGTGTGTTTGTGTGTCACAGTGTGTGTGTGTGTGTGTGTGTCACACAGGAAATGCGTCTAGGCAGCATTATGCTAGTGTTATAGCAAGCACTGCTTGTTCTCTTTCAGCTGCCGCCACTACACCTCGTGGCAAACAACAGGGCAACTCATTGTCTTCCCTGCCAGTACACAGCCTCCTCATCATCAAAACTCATGATGGCCTCCTCCTGGCAACACACGGTAAATTGGGTGCCCTGTGGGCACAGGCTAGATCAACAGGGATATTGGAGCAGTGGGGCCCAGAGGGACGGCGCATTGGGTTCACTGTCATGTGGACATGTCCTGGCGCCTTACCAACCACAGCTCCACTGCTTACAAATTAACCTTAGGTATAAGGCCACGGAGTAAAACCTACTGAAAAAAATCTGCAGTGGAGCCCAATCACAGCAGAACATGCTTACAGAGCTCCCAACATAACCCCAACGGCGGTGTAGGTGGAAGAGGTGACCACCATGGAAACCCAACGACTACACAGGTGGACGAAGGTAATGCCCAATGGACAGGCTACTAAGGCGAAACCCAACAAACTGGGCTATCGGCAGTCCATTGCGACTCTCCCTATCCCCAGTCGTTGCGACACTTGCACCACTAGATCAGGAAAAATGAAAGCCAAGATGTGTGGTTGCAACCCACGCCCTGCCTCACCACATAAATCAACTCACGAGCAGCCATCGTCCAAATTCATCCATACCTTCATCATCATCAAACCTCTATACCCCAAGTCCTATAACGACAGACGAGTAGGACGATGACAGGAGATGACTGCCGGGAGTCTCTAGTCACAACTCTGCACATGGGCGGCATAGATAAGATGGTCGTTTATGCACTGGGATCAGCAGTGCAACCGGTCCTGTCCATGCGACTGAGCCGCCCTATCTCGGAGTCACCGCTCACCCCACATGGGAGGCTAGAAGGTGCCCTAACATAGCCAGCCTAAAAAACCTGACTGGGAAGGCGCACCAGTAAGGTTATCCTAATGCAGTCGGAACATAATCATAATCATAGATCAAAGCAAAACAAATTATACAAATTCTAATGGTTGCTGCTGGAATGTCTGGACCCTTTTGGATACTGGCATAAATGAGCATCCTGAAAGAAGAACCATTCGTGGCAAACAGAGCTCTCTATGTATACATCTTATACTATTCTTTTTTATGGTCAGTAATCTTGAATCTAATTTCATTATCCCTCCTCGTTTCAAGACAAGTTGCAACACATATCATTCCTACCACATCACCTTTAGTCCGTACAAGCAACCCTCTTGCGAACCGGATTACACCTTACTCCTCCAGTCCTTACACTTCTCGATCTACGGAACTCCTTTCCTCTCTCACATTCTTCCATCAAAATACAACTCAGGTTTCGAAATGTACAGTGTATACCATCTAGCATACAGGTAAACAAACATACTTTCACCTTACTATACACGGTTTACGAGAGCAAATCCAGTGTATATATGAGTCACCCAGTCAGTAACATTAACCCTTCAGGGGCCACACTGTTCTGAGCACCTGCCTTAGTCCACCAAAATGTAAAAAAAATGATGTATGTATGTATGTACCTGTGGTGTAATGGTCAGCATTCTCGCCTCGCAAGTGAACGGACCTGGTCCGACCCTCAGCAGGTGAAACTGTTGGAGTTTTTAAACTGTTTGCCACTGTTCACCCAGCAGTAATTGGGAACCTGGATAAGAATTGACTTGGTGGATCGTATCCTGCTTGGTGTAAAGGTTGCAGTGTTGGGTGGGAGACAGGTGGAGGTGTGAGACAGGTAAAGGGAGACAGGTGGAGGTGTGGGTGGAGGAGACAGGTGGGGTGTGAGAGCAGGTGGGGGTGTGAGACAGGTGGATGTGGAGACAGGTGGAGGTGTGAGACAGGGGGTGTGAGACAGGTGGGGGTGTGGACAGGTGGAGGTGAGACAAAGAGGAAACAAGATGTGAGACAGGTAGATGGGAGACAGGTGTGAGACAGGTGGAAGTGGAGACAGATGTGGGACAGGTGGATAGGAGGCAGGATAGTGTGAGACAATTGAGGTGTGAAACAGGTGATGGAGACAGGTGGAGGTGTGGAGGAGGTGGAGGTGGAGGAGGTGGAGGTGTGAGACAATGGAGGTGGAAACAGATGTGAGGAGGTGGAGGTGTGAGGCAGGAGGTGTGAGACAGGTGGAGGAGTGAGACAATTGAGGTGTGTGAACAGGTGATGTGGAGACAGGTGGAGGTGTGAGACAATTGGAGGTGTGGAAACAGGTGATGTGGAGACAGGTGGAGGTGGAGGCAGGCAGGGAGGCAGGTGAGTGAGAGGAGGAGACAGGTGGATGTGAGACAGGTGGAGGTGTGGAGGCAGTTCAAGGTGAGACAGTTCCAGATACTCACCATGCTTTTGTCCCTTGTGTGAGAGGGAAAATTGATCATACTAATTAGTTTTAATATCTATCAGGGGTGAGGGAGGGGATGTTGGCTAAGGGAAGTAATTTCCCATAAAAATTAAAGTTCTTAGTCACTATGGGAGGGTCGTTATTATTATTATTTATTATTATTATTATATTATTATTATTATTATTATTATTATTATTATTATTATTATCATTTCTTTTTTGCCATCAATATTTTTTATGGAACCAAGTAGTAACATTCTGCAATTCACTATATGTTGTAAATATTAACTCAATCACCACAGCCAATAATACTTTTACTAACTCACCATAACTTCAAATAAACTTAACTAACTCACCATAACTTCAAATAAACTTAACTAACTCAATAAACTTCAAATAAACTTAACTAACTCGCCATAACTTCAAATTACTCAAAAATAATCATCAAGAAACCAATGAACTACGTCACACTGCTAATCACAAACACTGCCGTCACCCACGTCATCATTTCCGTCATCATTTACGTCATCACCTACGTCATCACCTACGTCATCACCCACCCTACTAAGGTGAGTCATGTTAACATTTGTGTTGTTTGATTCATTATATGTTGTTTCAACACATTCATTCCTCACAAGTTGCTATAATTGACACCACCTTCACTAACTGCCACTGGATATCTGACACCAAGACTCCTGACACTCGCGGACTAACTGACGCAGGACTACCTGATACTAGGACTACCTAGTACTTGCGACTATCTGATACTCGGAATTACTTGATACTTAGGACTACCTGACACTTAAAACTACCGAACACTTGGGACCACGCATACCGACAACAATGTTAGGTACCTACCACAGGCTTGTCCTGGAAAGCGGAGGGAGAGAGAAAATAATAGTCAGGTTTAATGATTATTAAATAATTAATGTACGCACCAACACCCTTCCGCCTCTCACTCCTCTCTTCCTCAGGAACCATACCACCACAACACCACCACAACCACCAGTAGTAGTGGTTGTGGTGGAGGCCAATATATATCTGTTCCTCATACCAACACAACATCACCACAACCACCAGTAGTGTAGTGGTTGTGGTGGAGGTACACACTATATATCTGTCCCTCATACCACCACAACAGCCACCAGTAGTGTAGTGGTTGTGGTGGAGGCCACACTATAACTGTTCGTTCATACCACCACAACAGCCACCAGTAGGAGTGATTGGTGGAGGTACACACTATATCTGTTCACCTCATACCACCACAACAGCCACCAGTAGTGTAGTGGGTTTGGTGGAGGTACACACTATATATCTGTTCTCATACCACCACACAACAGCCACCAGTAGTGTAGTGGTTGTCTATATACCAGACACAAATGTCCGTGCTTTGTGGACGAGGGCGTTGATATTGCTGTTGTGATCCCTCTCATAAAGACCTCAGTGAACATGAGAGTTGATGCCTTAGCTAAGACATTGTTAAATGCAAACTTGTCTCGCAAACAGAACCAGCCACCAGTATTGCTCCAGCTACCAGTGTTGTCCAGCCACCAGTGTCTCCAGCACCAGATGCTCCAGCCACCAGTGTTGTTCTCCCCACAGTGTTCTCCAGCCACCACAGCACCGATTGTTCTCCAGCTACCAGTGTTGTTCTCCAGCCACCAGTGTTGTTCTCCAGCCACCAGGTGTCTCCAGCCACCAGTAAGGCTGTCTCCAGCCAACAGCTGTCGCCCTCCAGCCACCAGTGTTGTACCCTCCAGCCACCAGCAGTTGTTCTCCAGCCACCAGCATTGCACTCTCCAGTCCACCAGTGTTGTCCCCCTCCAGCCACCAGTGTTGTTCTCCAGCCACCAGTGCTGTTCTCCAGCCACCAGTATTGTTCTCCAGCTACCAGTGCCACTCCTCCAGCCACCAGTGTTGCTCCCTCCAGCCACCCGTGCTGTCTCCAGCTACCAGTGTTGGGCCTGTCACCAGTGCTGTTCTCCAGCTACCAGCATTGCTCCCTCCCAGCTACCTGTACAGCCCCCAGCCACCAGTGGTTGTTCTCCAGCCACCAAGTGTTGTTCTCCTGTCACCGCAAAGTGTTGTCACCTCCAAACACCAGTTGTTGCTCCTCCAGCCACCATGTTGTTCTCCGTCACCATGTTGTCTCCAGCCACCAGCATGCCTCCAGCTACCAGTGTTGTTCCTCCAGCCACCAGTGCTGTCTCCCTCCAGCCACCAGTGTTGCCCTCCAGCCACCAGCATGCTCTCCAGCCACCAGCAGCTGTTCTCCAGCCACCAGTGCTGTTCTCCAGCCACCAGTGTTGTTCTCCAGCCACCAGTGTTGTTCTCCAGCCACCAGTGCTACCCTCCAGCCACCAGTGCTGTTCTCCAGCCACCAGCATTGTTCTCCAGCTACCAGTGCTGTTCTCCAGCCACCCAGTGCGTTGTCTCCAGCCACCAGTATTGTTCTCCCAGCTACCAGTGCTGTTCTCCTCCAGCTCACCAGTGCTGTTCTCCGCCACCAGTGTTGTCTCCACACCAGTGTTGTTCTCCAGCCACCAGTATTGTTCTCCAGCTACCAGTGTTGGTTCCCCAGCCTCACCAGTGCTTGCCTCCAGCCACCCGCATTGTCTCCAGCTACCAGTGTTGTTCTCCAGCCACCAGTGTGCCACCCCCTCCACACCAGTGTTGTTCTCCAGCCACCAGTGTTGTCGCCCTCCAGCCACCAGTGTTGTTCTCCAGCCACCAGTGTTGTTCTCCCAGCCACCAGTGTTGCCTCCACACCAGCAAGTGCTCCCCTGTTGCACCAGTATTGTTCCTCCGTTCACCGCAAGGTTCCTGCTCACCAGTATTGTTCTCTCTCTCCAGCTGGGCCAGTGTTGTTCTCCAGCCACCCCAGTGTTGTTCTCCAGCCACCGCGTGTTGCCACCTCCAGCCACCAGTGTTGTTCTCCAGCCACCAGCATTGTTCTCCAGCCACCAGTGTCTCCAGCCAACCAGTGTTGCGCCTCCAGCCACCAGCAAGGTTCTCCAGCCACCAGTGCTGTTCTCCGCCACCAGTGCTGCACCCAGCCACCAGCAAGGTTCTCAGCCACCAGTGTTGTCTCCAGCCACCATGTTGTTCTCCAGCCACCAGTGTTGTTCTCCAGCCAACAGTGTTGTTCTCCTGTTCAACCAGTGCTGTTCTCCAGCCACCAAGTGCTTGTTCTCCAGCCACCAGTGGTTGTCTCCAGCCACCAGTGTTGTTCTCCAGCCACCAGTGCTGTTCTCCAGCCACCAGTGCTGTCTCCAGCTACCAGTGTTACCCTCCAGCCACCATGTTGTTCTCCAGCCACCAGCATTGTCGCCTCCAGCCACCCGTGTTGTCTCAGCCACCAGTGCTTGCCCAGCCACCAGCATGTTCTCCAGCTACCAGTGCTGTTCTCCAGCCACCAGTATTGCCTCCTCCAGCTACCAGTGTGTTGTCTCTCCAGCCACCAGCAGCTTGTTCTCCAGCTGCTGTCTCCAGCCACCAGTGTTGCCTCCGTTTCACCAGTGTTGTTCTCCAGCCAACAGCATTGTCTCCTAGCCACCTGTGTTCCCCCAGCCACCAGTGTTGTTCCTCCAGCCAACCTGTGTTGCTCCGTTCACCAGCATGTTCTCCATACCAGTGTTGCTCCTCCACGACCAGTGTTGTTCTCCAGCCCGTGTTGCCCCCAGCCACCAGTGTTGTCGTTCTCAGCCACCAGTGTTGTCTCTCCAGCCACCAGTGCATTGTTCTCCAGCCACCCGTGTTGTTCCTGTAGCCACTATGTTGTTCCTCCAGCCACCAGCGTGTTGTTCTCCAGCCACCAGTGTTGTTCTCCAGCCACCAGTATTGTTCTCCAGCCACCAGTGTTGTTCCTCCAGCCACCAGTGCATATTCTCCAGCCACCAGTATTGTTCTCCAGCCACCAGTATATTGTCTCCAGCTACCAGTGTTGTTCTCCAGCCACCAGAATTGTTCTCCAGCCACCAGCACCCTCACACCAGTGTTGTTCTCCAGCCAACAGTATTGTTCTCTCCAGCCACCGTAGTTGTCTCTCCAGCTCAGTGTTCTCCAGCCACCAGTGTTGTTCTCCAGCCACCAGTGTTGTTCCCCAGCCACCAGTGCTGTCTCCAGCCACCAGCATATTGTCTCCTGCTGTTCCTCCAGCCACCAGTGTTGTTCCTCTGTTCAGCATTGTCTCCAGCCACCAGTGTTGTTCCCCAGCCACCAGGTTCCTCCAGCCACCAGTATTGTCTCCAGCCACCAGTGTTGTCTCCAGCCACCAGTGCTGTCTCCAGCCACCGCGTTGCTCCCTCCAGCCACCAGTGCTGTTCCTCCAGCTACCAGTTGTTCTCCAGCCACCAGTGCTGTTCTCCAGCCAACTGTGTTGTCTCCAGCCACCAGCAAGGTTCTCCAGCCACCAGTGTTGCTCCTCTGCACACCAGTGCTGTTCTCCAGCCACCAGTGTTGCTCCCTCCAGCCACCAGTGCAAGGTTCCTCCAGCCACCAGTATTGTCTCCAGCCACCCGTGTTGTTCTCCAGCCACCAGTATTGTTCTCCAGCTACCAGTGTTGTTCTCCAGCCACCAGTGCTGTCGCTCCCCTCCAGCCACCCGTGCTGCCCTCCAGCCACCAGTGTTGTTCTCCAGCTACCAGTGTTGTTCTCCAGCCACCAGTAAGGCTCTCCAGCCACCAGTGTTGTTCTCTAGCCACCAGTGTTGTTTTCCAGCCACCAGTATTGTTCTCCAGCTCAGTGTTGTTCTCAGCCACCAGTATTGTTCTCTCCAGCCACCCTGTTTTCCCAGCCACCAGTTCTCCACTACCAGTGAGCAGTTCCTCCAGCCACCAGGTGTTGTTCTCCACACCAGTGCTGCCTCCAGCCAGTGCTGTTCTCCAGCCACCAGTGTTAGCCTCCAGCCACCGGTGTTGCCCTCCAGCCACCGGTGTTGTCTCCAGCCACCGGTGCTGTTCTCCAGCCACCAGTGCTGTTTCTCCAGCCACCAGTGCTGCTCCTCCAGCCACCAGTGCTGTTCTCCAGCCACCCTGTTGTTCTCCAGCCACCAGGTGTCTCCTCCACACCCAGTGTTGCTCTCCAGCTACCAGTGTTAATTCTCCAGCCACCAGTGTTGTTCTCCAGCCACCCAAGAGCCTCCAGCCACCAGTATTGTTCTCCAGCCACCAGGCCAGGCTCCAGCCACCAGTGTTGTTCCTCCAGCCACCAGTGTTGCCCTCCAGCCACCGCAAGTTCTCCAGCCACCAGTGTTGTTCTCCAGCCACCAGTGCTAGCCTCCAGCCACCAGTGCTGAGCCCAGCCACCGGTGTTAGCCTCAGCCACCGGTGCTGTTCTCCAGCCACCAGCAAGTGTTGCTCCCAGCCACCAGTGTTGTTCTCCAGCCACCAGTGTTCTCCAGCCAACCCCGTGTTGCCCTCCAGCCACCAGTGTTGTCTCCAGCCACCAAGTGTTGTTCCTCTGTTTCACCAGTGTTGTTCTCCAGCCACCAGTGTTACCTCCAGCCACCAGTGTTGTTCTCCAGCCACTGGTGTTGTTCTCCAGCCA